CTCGTCGTCAGTCCACGAAAATACATCCTTTCGTGCAGCCATCTTCTACCTTGTTTGTTTGTTTGTTTGTGCCTTACGCCCATGCTCGGGGGGATCTTATACTCGCTGCTTTTGGTGTATTTTGTGGCCGAAGTACAGCGCCACTTACAGGCCTGGCATATGTACTACAGCGTCTCCAGCGCTTTCGAGCGGTCTCGTGTGAACGGACACGTTTCTGGTGCCTGATGGTGTGGACGGAAGACTTTTTTGATAACGATTGCGGTCCGTTTGCGTTATCGTCCTCGTGTGGCTCCAGCCTTAATATGATAGCAACCGCAAGTATTAAAAGCCTACGCGAGTTGAACCCAACACAAACATCTGTGAATTATCTTTGCCTATATGAGCAAATCAAATATAAGTTTGTCTTCTCCACAAATACAATATTGTCCCATACAATTAAACTGCATTCACAATTACATTTCCAAGAGAAAAAGGAAGGGTCGACTTATTTGTTCACCCAACCAATTCCCCTTGACTTCCTAATTTCTCTGATGAGAAACGTATTTCCTCTCTGTTAAATATTTCCATGTCCCTTCTTTCATCCCTCTCCATCACCACTGTATCTTATCACTATTTGCAGCCAGTTCCTTCCTCCAGAATCCATTTGCTCTGTCTTATTTGAAATTCATCCTAAAGCCAGCTGCAGATACTTGGATACTTGGACGAAACACTCATTCACAGCAAATTAGCGGCCTGTCCTCTTTGCAAACAAGAGGTTTATCTGAATGGACTTTCTAACTTTCCTGCCAACTTGCAATAGCAGCGGACAGGAGATTTATACTGGCGTGAAAAATGACTTCCTGTTTTGTCATGATAATCTCCTTTGGTTCAGTACATCTTTTCCAGCGCAGAAATGTTGAAAATGTCTGAATGTTTCAACAGATCTGCTGCAATTCCTGGATGTCTTGGCATGTTAGCAACCCAGATTCAAATGTCTTTCAGACTTTTCCACACGTCATAGCTTTAACCTATCTGCCACAAATGCGGTGGGGTATTTGACCGAGGGGATGTATTTGTCAGTCAGCGCACCATGCTGGGAACCATGGAAAGTGTCTGTATTGACATTGTGACAAAGATGTGACATCCCCCTCATTCAACGACAGTCCAGAGGAACTTCCCGAGCTGCCGCACTGGCTCTGATTGGTCCATTCAGGGAGCAACAGGAAGTAGAGAGACGTATATCAGTCAATTGGAGGCTAGCACTCTACAGCTATGGAACAACAAACATAGAAGAGTGTGCGTTACACACACACAGGCAATTCTTCCCTATAAAAACATTTGGCTGTTGTTGCTAGGGCTGCTGCTTGCTTCATCTCACAGATGACACATAGTGGCCACACTTACAGTAGCGTTAAACATACACACATATACACAGTTGTATAGTGCAGTACTGCATGTTGTGTAGGGTCTGCTTTTTGTCCCATATATTGCAATATAAAGTCATTACTTTCTAATGATTCCTTTTCATAAAATGAGTATACCTGTCCAAACCTTTTTTTTCTTTTGCAGACACACAGTGTAAAACACATTCAGGAACACCAAGGATGAATTAATGGGTTTTCTGACAGCATTTAAATATGCGGTTATATCTGCTGACAGTTAAGGCTGTACAGAATGTGTAAACAGCCTCAAGGTCTTTAGATTATTAGGTCTAGCAAAAAAAAACCTTCATGTCATGAAGCATATTATTAGTCTGGGTCTGTGTTTTACACTGTGTGTTCCCCGATTTGCCTTTTACTAACTTTTTGGATGTCAAAGAGACAAAAACACAGGTGGATAACAGAAAGGAGCAAGGATAGCAGAGGTAAACATGTAAGGCAGGGGTCATTGACTACATTTGTCCAAGGGGGAGACATTTTTCTCGCCAGACACACTGAGGGAAAGAGCACTGTTAATCTAGTAGGGTGTCAGCAATAATTTTAGATAGCTATGCAGCAAGTCTTTAGCTCTGCGCAGCTAGCTTAAATTATTACATTACATTAGACTTGTTAGATGCTTTTATCCAAAGCGACTTACATACTCAATACTGTGGGCAATCTCCACAGGAGCAATTTGGGGTGAAGTGTCTTGCCCAGGGACACAACGACATGCTGACTGCAGTGGGGTTTGAACCTGTGCTCCCCTGATCCCAACACCAAGGCTCTATCCACTGCGCCACACGCCTCCCTATTAGCAGTAAGGAATCGCTGTCCAGTTTGTTTTTTGTTATACTCTTTTAATAGTCACATTTGGATGATGCGGTCACAATCTAAATGTTTAAAGTGTATTAAAAAATGCATCAAACTAAAGTTGAACAACATCAACCTACAGTTTGAAACAAATCAATGCCAAATAAGGTTCACTGACCAGGCTAGCCGATTAGCTTGCTATATTGCAACCGCTGCAACAGATACAGAAGAACTGCCAAAACTGCCCCGGTCAAACACTGCCCGAACGTATCTTGTAAAACTGGCCAATAATAGATTATCCTAAGAGCTGCACCTGCAGAGAGTCACATTTCTTTAATTCGTTAATATGCTGTGGCCCAAATGGGAAGCTTTGGCGCACGGGTCAACAGTTGACAATCACTGATGTAAGTTGAAGTAAGATCCACACGTTCAGAAAGGCCTTATTTCACAATAGAAAACACCACCACATCAACATTTCTCATGTTTTTATTGTTGCTGTGATAACACTATGACTTTGGACATTCATTGATAGTGGCCCGTACAGTATGGATAGTATGGAAATTACATTAACGTCTGTGTCAGGATTACTTTCTACAAACTACTACTGGTAGGCTACATGTTTTTTTTTTAATCTTGGCAAATTTTCAACACAAATATTTCAGACCTACAGTTAGGAAGATCGGCAATTGCTCCTCAAAATCTAAATCATTCAATGTATACACTTTGGGATGAACAATATTTGGAATTATAATGATAACACCTGCTTGTTAACTGAAAAGACAAAATAGATACATTAAATTAAAACCTCAATTAGTCTCCCCATAAACAATTTAAAATGCTAATCTAATATTTTCATTTGGAACAAGTTTCATACTTTAATAAAATCCTTCTTTTTCATAATAAAAATGTAGGCTGTATTTTGTTATTTACTTGACGGAAAAAGTGAAATATCATTCTAACCATTTATATTTGGTGTACTTTGTAGGCAATTGTAAACATACAATGATTTCCATTTGTTTTTTCAAGTGCACTCTGGGACACTATGACATCATTGTTGGGCGTGGTTACAGGTACAACAACTACTTTCAACCAGAGAGGGCGGTAAAAGGCTCCTTTGGTGTTTGGTTACTCTTAGGACGGCTTGAAGGCACTGCACACATTGATATCCCTGTTTCTGGGTCACAAACATGTTAATAATTGTAATAGTTTCTACAGGAAATGCATTAATAAGGGTCACAATAAAAACTAAAATAATTCATGACATAAAAAACAAAATCCGACAGTACATTTGGACAGATTATAACACACTTAAATTTACAAACAGAAAAACACTTTCCCTTTGGTGATTAACTCTGGATAATATATTTTATATACATACATACTGTACACATATACTTACAAAGGTGTGAAAAGAGTGACACACTGGTAAACAAGTAAATAGAAAGAAGGTTTTGTTGGTTTGCTATATAACCTGAATTTGTTAGAAAAACGGGTTGGTGTGAAGTTAAGGATGGGCCAACTCAAAGGCATATCTTAAGGAATTAAGTTGAATTGTCCGATAAGTAAACATCTAAGAGTGTTTAGTATGGTGAAAAACACTAAAACAAATATTTACAAGGAGAAAGAACCAAAGGAATCCACTTCACACTCTTAGCATCCAGAATACCCTGAACAAAAATACAATCTAAACTCTGGATAAAGAACTCATTAAAAAAGGAACGTTTTTTGGCCAGCTTTGAAAGGCAAAACTACCAGCTGACTTCATTTAAGCAATGCAGCTGAATAATCCCTGACAAACATCTTGCTTCTTGGAAGAGAGTTGACTGTTTTTGGCTGTGATGCTCACTTTTCTGTCAGGTTGTTTGGAGCTTCATCTGTGTATTTCGGGTCAAAATGTGCACAGCAAAACATTCAGCTGGTGATTTTTAACAATGTACGTCATAGCATCACCAGACTGTAATGAGATATCCCCATTTAACTCTGCATTGGCCCTAAGAGAAAACTGGCATACAGTACCTTATTGTTGTCTGTACCCCTTAAAAATGGACTGCGTAAAAGGCTTAATGTCTTGAGAGGGTAAACATTTCATTAAGTTGTGATGGTAAACAAGACAAGTACAAAGTCCAATCTATAATATGTGCCAACTTGATTACCCAATAAGATTTAAAGACATGATGTGTCCCTTTAGATGCCATGCAGAGGGACAACGATGATAAACATCTCAGCATTTGCAAATAAAGACTGGTTAACAACAAAACATGGTGAATTTCCCAAGCATCTCATAATGACATAAATATAACATCATATATTATAGAGGGACATCTTTATTACTTCATATCACCGATAACACTGTTTCAGCAAGATATGTGTGCGTGACATTCAGTTTCTGGTTAATAGGAAAGATATTTTCATACTTAAATATTTGAAATGAACTTCTTGAGTCTCTCTGATTGATGCTAAATGTGAACTCTGACGAAAGACTGAAATGTAACTAAAATATGGAATGCCATGACATTTGGAGGTTAGTGTTTTCAGTCAAATTGGTTACTACTGCATAATTGGTGGCAACATTGATAACAACTAACAATTTTAGCAGGCATTCATCAACTTCCAGTTCATGCTATAAAGATGGAATGACCCATCTTGTCACCTTTAACAATGTTGAGTTCTAGTTTTCAGAAATCTCCATGTATAACATTTACAACTTTTTTTCAGTTTCATAGATCCTTCCCATGCCACCAGAGGGCAATTACAAATAAACACTGCTTCTACTTCAACATTCTCTTACCCCCCCCACCCCCACCCTTATTCCTCAGTCAGCCTCATGGACACAGAGACCCTTGATAAAACCATTTGAGGCAGACAACTCAGCACATTTCATGTCATGATCTGAAGTCTGTTAACGCTCACCAGAAATGACCTTCACCTTGTATCCACATAACACTGTTCTAAAAACCACAAACATCCTCCTTCCCTTTTTTGGTTAGATCCCTGGAACAACTTGTCTCCAACTCCTTAGACGGAATAAACGACAGATTTTGGACCCCTTGTTTATTTAAGTTGGAACAAAGGAAGGAACTTGATTCACCAAAGCATTAGTAAGAAAAGATGATCAGTAGAATTGTAAGTCCTCAAAGTAAGTAAGTAAGTAAGGTTGTAAGGTCAATTTCATTAGAAAAGTGATGAATCTGTTGTGGAAATGAATAGTGGCTCTGTAAACAATCCTTCATTGAGTGCTTTTTCTAAATTGCTAAACCTGTTGACCATATGAGTATTGATATTATTTTTTTTGCAGAATCAGCAGGGTGTGCCAAAATTGTTTTCACTTTCCTTTTATGGAAATGTATCAAGAAACCAACCTTAAAGTTCCAAAGTAAAAAGCTGCTGGAGATAGCCAAAATGAACTTTCAGTTGAACGTGATGACACAAAACTGAATTTGTTTGTGTGAATTTCCCAAGATTTCAAATGCTTTCTCCCAAACATAAAATAAAAATAAAAATAGCGTTTTAAATCTTGGTTCAGACTCAAACTGAATCCGTAAAAGGATGTGAAGGAAACTCTGACGGCAGTGTCATGCTGTTTGTACGGAACATGTCGAATGGAAATGAAAAATGGGGATCAAGGGGGGGAAATCAAGTCTAAAACATAAGGCTACAGGATACACAGTTAGAGAAGACTATATTACTGGCATTACCTTCATTTCACAGATTAATTTTAAATAGTTCATATCAGCGTTGTCCTTATCACACTTAAAACAAATTGAAAATAACAGCTAAACAAAAATACTAACAGATCCCACACTTTTCTTCCTCCACACAGCATTAAAGTCTTATCTTCTTTCTTCGTAATTGCCTTTTTTCTTCATTGAGACATCATCCAAATCTTCATTAACTCTACTCCACCTACATGTATCACGTCACCGTCTTAAGTTCATACGAAGTCCCTCTAGACCTTCCCATGCTGCCCTTTACCTTCTTTCAGTCAGTTTTTCAATTAGAGATGAACCCCTTTGACTAATCTCCGCCATCTCCAGCCTTTCTTTATACCACCGAGTGTTCGTTTTTGTGGTTACGGTGGTGATGGTGGGGGTGCGAACTGCCGCTCAGCACCGTGTGGTTAACGGACGACGCTGAGCGGTCGGACCCCTCAGCCACCGTGCCGTTGACGTTCTCCTGCCGCTGACAGCACAGGATCTGCCTGAAGGTGGCGCTCATCTCCTTGTCGCGGTACGAGTAGATGATGGGGTTCATTGCCGAGTTGAACTCAGCGAGAAGCAGGAAGAACTTCTCGTAGGTGAGGACGTTGCAGTTGGCGCAGAAGACGTCGAGGAGGAGGATGACGAGGCCGGGGGTCCAACAGACAATGAACGCACCTGAGGAGACATGAAGCAAGGGGGAAAGGGGTTGAAATTGGTACTCGGACATGATGAACTGTATCAAAAAATCCCTATATTTTTCTTTTATTCATGTCCAATCCAATCCAACTTTATTTATATAGTACAAAAACAGCATAAATACATTTAGACAAAACCGATAGGACAAAAGGAAACGCACGCTTAATGTAAAAGCACGAGACAATAAAACCATACTTAAAGCCACAGACTGAAAACCCTCATACATGATGTAAAAACACAAGAATATAGAAAACCCCAATTTAGAAAACCCCAATTTAGAAAACACAGACTGATACGTCTTATACGTGGTCTGCAAAAGCACGGGAGAACAAGTATCTTTAAACGAGATTTAAAAACAGGCAAAGTGGGAGCAAGTCTGATGTCTTTTGTGTTCAGTTCAATACACCAAATGTTCAATAAAACAGTCTAAATCTTTTTTTGTTCAGTTTGTGTTTTTAAATATAGAATGCACTTCAATATCTCTTTATTTATAAAAAATAATAAAATATGCTAAAGATTCCTCATAATTCAGCCCTCATTGACATAATATATTTCTTAATGTTTAAAAAGCCCTGGTTTCCCTTTAATAGAAATGTGCAAGTCATCCAAATGAATAACTCAAGCCTTTAAGTGGCACATACAAGACGGATGATTGTATATTTAGCCGGTTTGGCCCCTGTTATGTGTCATGGCTTTGCTTCTCACGCTAGTTATTATTACTCATCAGTCATTAAGCTTAAGTTCTTACCTATTCCAATTTCTGGATGTCTTATTTGAATTATGACTCAATGATTCACTGCCAGAGAAATAAACCCGAGCACTGATGACTTCATCAAAATGGCATGTCTTTTTAGTGTCGCCTTAAAATGTACGACTCATCATGCGGCATGTTTGAATCAAGCTGATAACGACTTGTCTTTCCTCTCCCTCTAATGAACCCCAAAAAAGTTAGAATGCAGAAAGTGTATTTGGCACTGAAAGAAATGTTTACAACAACACATCCCTATACAGTATGGTGCAGATGAAGACACAGTTGATTATTTAAAACAAGATAAACACTCTGAAACCACATCACCATCACTTAACAACCACACCCTCAGTCTACAGAACAAAACAACAACACCCATATCACTCTACAACCACATATACAACTTTTAACAATACTTTTTGAGTACAAAGTTCTGTTAATGTACAGTGATTTCAAATACCTTGTTATTGTGGGTGCAAAAATACCACTAAAAAGGACGGTATTTCCTTTTATAAATATACCTAAATGCATTACTAACCAGTGAGATATGAATAATTTAAACTCATTGTAAATACATATTATTCTTTTATCTTTGTTTTGATATAATAAAGTAAGAAACAACTAAAGTAAAAAGAAAAAAAAAGTCCTGGTGTTCAATCTGATGCGAGGAAAAATTATGTATGATTTATCGCAGAGGAATTCAATTATGTCACTAATATATTTTTCCAATATTTTAGTGCAATTTTGACAAGAGGTATTCTCATTTAATATAATACTGCATACTTTGACTGTTACATAATGCATATACAGTATACTATGACTGTAGCTTAATATGAATCTGTAACTTTTAGGGCTCCAAAGACCGGGATTACCAAGAACCTTTCAAAATAAAAGCCCAATGTCAGAAGTACATTTGAAATATGTCCAATGAGTCAAATGAGTCAAACTAAATAGGCAGTTATTATGAGCTCTTTCTAATGTGGCGTCATAAACATAATTTGCCAGTGCTTTCCTCCTCAAAACAGTTACGGTTTACATGATCGTTCATCACCCTAAATGTTTCTCTCTGTGTAGATGTGCAACATCTACAGAAATAAATGATTGACCTCCAGACAACCAGATCTCCAGTACTCCATCCCCACATCTACAACCTTCTAACCTCATTTGGGAAGTACAACCCATCATCATTCATCCGAGTGGTTGAAGTGTGTAAGCAGAGTCGAAGGGGGTCACTGATTCATCAGTAATGAATGTCCAGGTTAAGTATTGCGAAGTCAGTCAACAGATGCTATTTGTCACGACCATACAGTAAGACAACTGTAGGACATTACACTCTTGAGACGGTAAAAAAAAAAGTCTTGATGGGAAACAAGTGAAGTGGAGACAGAAAGTGGGAGAGCGTGAGACACAATATTGACAGGCATGCCTGCTATCTGTTAGTGTTTCGCAGGCGGCAGCTGCAGCGAAGGCTTGACCTCACTTCCCAGCTATGCAGCCATTCTCTCCAGAGTTAGATAAATTCCTCAAACGGTTTGCAGTCCAGCGGAGAAACTGTCTGAGATAGTTGTCTCTTATTGAAACATCAACAGGAAAAGACTCGGCACAAAAAAACAACACCGAAACCAACATTATGAGTGTATTATTGAACCATGTTTCCTGCCTTTTAGAAACACTTGCGATAGTGATGATGGAAACATGATATAGTCTTGGAACCCAACCCAACCACAACCCTTATTTTTGTCCAAGAGAAGCAATAACCATAACAATATAGCAACTAAATACATGTCTACATTCCCAACAAGCCTCTTCTTCAACAACATTGGTTCTGTTGTGTTTTAAATGGATTGTGAAACATGCATATTTACAGGATGTTAGCCCTGCCTGAGAGGAAGAAACTTTGTCTATGTGTGAAGTTATGAACTGAGAGGTTTAACCCTTGGATTCTTTCATTTCCTCTATAAAGCCAGGGGTGTATGGTTGCTCACGTTACACCCTTCATCTCAAAGCTGCTGCTTTACTCTGCCCAAAAATATGTGGTGTGGTTCACCGAGGCCACAAAGAGCAGTGTTTCTGCCACAAAGTTTTCGTTTACGGAAGAAACAAATACATATGTTGGCCTAAGTCAATCCATTTGCCTTGTCACATGAAGGAGAGTGGAGAAATGGAAAGTCAGTGAAAAATAAATAAAGGCCAGACCTGGAAAGATTGGAATTTAGGGAAAACTACATTTTTACACTATCCAGGACTTTAAACAAGTCAGGGGTTAGACAGAAACAAAACATGAATGGGTGTTAGCACATAACAGTGTTTTAAACCATTGAAATCTACCTTTATGTACTTGATCATAAATGGGAGGCAGGCGGTTGTTGATTATTAGCATAGGCAACACCCCTTAACACTACATATAGGCATGCTTAAAATGAGAAAAACCACCAAGAAAGTAGCTCTAAAATATCAAATAGCCAAACTGGGATTATTTGATATTAATGTCATTTTGTAAGAGGGACAAAAACAAGGAAAATTGATAAATTACATAAATCAATGGATACGAAGCGGAAACCCTTGATACGAACAAAAATGCAATAATTCTTAAGTATTATCTTCACCCACACTCAGTGTTTTAAAAGTATTGTTCCATTGTGTATCCTATTTTTGACAAAGAAACCCAAAACTGAGTAACCACATCTTTGGACTTCAAAGTTATCATTCCTAACTGTCATCCTTTGTTTTGTCTTTTCCCAGCAAAATGTATCTACCATAAGAGAGAAATGGGAACAACAATAAGGAAATAAAGGAGACCAGACGACGTTGACAATGAACTCCAAACTGCCACAAACACACACTTAGACAAAAACTGAGCGTAGACACAGATAAACACTTACATGTGCAGACACAAACACACGCAAACACTCACTTACATAATTACAAAGGGCATGAAGAGATGGAAGAGCACTCAAAAATGATGTGAAAACATTTGGACGGTGATAAAAGCACTCTGAAAATCTGTCCATCCCAGCAATAGTACCAGTGCATTGTTAGCGGATTATGGGTATGTAATTATGTATGTCTAAATTCTCCTTCAGATTAGTAAATGGAACTTGTGTTTTGTTGTTAAGAGAGGCTCTTCTCTAATGCCTGACGGTTCATGTTTCTTCCAGACAGAAATGCATCATCAAGAGGTTAACGACGTAATTCTTCAGCGTAAATGACACATTGTCTACAGCAGCATGTAAACTGTCACAATTACAGAGGTACTTAAATATGAGTTTTAATGGCTTTAAGGATCATGTTGTTGGTTTTTGCACGTTTAGTACTTTAACTGGACATAACACATTGTTCTGCTATCGGGATTACATTGAAACTAAAGCCAATCAAGTTTGATTCACAAGCTTAAGGATGTGTTTACTGAGACCATTATACAGATTGATCTTTACGTGGTCCTGACCAATCGTCCGTAACTGAAGAGTACGGAATGTTGAGTAAAGATGAATCAGGATTTGTGAGGTAGGGTGCGCCCTGGTCGAATGAGGTCAAGGGATTGGGTAGGGGTGGGGAGGTTTCCAAGGATTACACTGTTGAGTTTTGAAAAAAAAAATTCAAAATGGTACGACAAGGATTGTTCCCTAAAATTAACTGACGGTATTATCAATATCTACACTAAGGTGTTGGGAACGGTCATTGGCATTGGGTGAAACAATTTTGTTGTAGCCCTGACTAATTGACTTGCATAACTTCTTGATCACTTAAGATAAAATCAATAGAAGACAAGCCCCAATTGGCCAAGGTCCAACATGGAGTTTTTCCAACAAGTCCTAAAATTACACTACAAAATGTGTATTTGCCTATGCGTGCCTCTGTAAATCAAATCTGTTCTTTGTTAAGGTTAGTGAAACATTGTGGTCATGGTAAAACACACCAAGATTGACTAGGAGACAAGATTTTAACTGACGTCACCCAGTATGTGTCTACGTCACTTGCTTAGTACACCTAATCCTCCACCCCGACCTCCTCCCTGAAGTGCCTTGCGTTCTGTTTTAACTAGATCACTTTGTGCTTTACACACAAAACGACCCTCTCACCATGATGTAATGATGTTAATTAGAACAGAAAGATAGATGGAAAGTTGTCAGCAGTAACGTCAATCTTTCAGCATATACTGTAAAAATGTAAATGTAACTTCGCACTGCTCATGAAGTCACTGATCCTTGTAGGGCCGTGTCTCACACTTCTG